CCCCCCCCCCAGATATATTTTTAAAAAGCAACAGAAAGCCCAAGTCAAACTTTGGGGGAAATTTACATTTATTTAACAAGAATCATTGACTAAAGTGAGAGGCAATGAGTGTAATGAATTTTGGGGAAATTTCTAAAGAACACAGAATGTAATAAATGTAACAAGACTGTAATAAATGTGTCAAAAATTCACACTAATGAAAAGGCAGAAGAATATAATTAGGCCCAGCCGGTCGTGGCTCAGCGGTTGAGCATCGACCTAGGATCCAGGCGATCAGGGTTCGATTCCCGGTCAGGGCACATGCCTGGGTTGCAGGCTAGCTGATCAATGAATCTCTCATCATCTATCTCCCTCCCTCTCCCTTCCTCTCTTTGAGATCAATAAAGATATATTAAAAAAGAAAGAAAGAATATAATTAGTACTAAAGGCCCTCCTATACAACTCACAAAACATTGTACACAGGTAATACCCTTACAAATAGGTGAGTAAAAGCTATGTCAAAATGTAATCTTACTCTCTTTTAAAGAACTCATACTGGAGAGAAATACTGTGATTGTAGTGTGGAAAAGTCTCCAATCCAGAACCTGTTTCCATCGGAACATATAATTCATACTGGGGAGAAGTCATTCAAGGGCAATGAATGTGAGAAAGCCTACAAGTATAGCTTAGCTTTTATTTAAAATAAAAGAAACCATGCAAGCAGAATGCCTTATAAATTCCACAAATCTGAAAAAAACTTTATTTAGGAGTTCAAATTTATTGGATAATCAATAATGCAAAACTTTGTATGTAAATAGGGGAAAACCTTCAGGGAGCTGTGAACCCCACTAAGCATCAAAAAAATGCTCAAAGGGAGAGAACTTATACAGACATGGAATGTGGGAAAGCTGTCTTCTAGAAGTCAAACCTTTGAATACATTTGAGAATTCAGAAAGGGACCACACGAGTGTACTAAATATGATAATGCCTTTAGGAAGAGAGGATGCCCACAGGATGGTCATGCTGTGGAGATCACGGACAGTGGATTGAAGTGAGAAGCCGTAGAAGAAGACAGAACTCACTGTGCATGAGGGAATTCACCTCAGAGACAGGTGGCAATGAATGTGGGGAGTGTGTGGAAGTCTTCAGCAAGAAGGCAGGACTGTAAGTCAGAAACCTCACATCATAGATCATATAGGGAGAAATCGTCCAAATGTGGAAAAGCTTTACTTAAGAAATCATCCAAACTCTCAGTCATAGAGTTCAGAATGGGGACAACCACAAGAAATGTAACAAATGTGGAAAAATTTTCAACTAGAAGCCAAGACTCATAGCACACTAGATAATTCACACTGGGCAAAACACCAAGAAAACAGTACACACAGGAAGACCTTCATTTGGAGATCAGAGATCATTGAGTCTCTACAAGTTCATGTAGGAGGAAAAAAACCTATAAAAGCACTTATATGGAAAAGCCTCCACCAAGAAAACACAATTTATTATACACCAGAAAACCTGCAGAGGAAAGAAGCCCTATGAAATAATAAACTTTGGAAAGCATTCAGCAATATATAAAACTTCATAATTAACACTGCAGAGAAACAAACCCTGGGAATGCAACATGTGTGAGGGAGGAGGATCTGTATGTTACTCTGAGGAGAAGCCCTATTAATTTCAAGAATGCAGAATGAACTAGTCAAAACCTATAAGCACCAGAGACTCTCTATAGGAAATAGTCTCTATGCTGTACAAAGTGTGGTTGATCTTCAAAATCAGTGCCAGATATTAGATACTAGAAAATTCACACTAATAAAAAAAGTCAGTTTTAAACTTAAATTCTACCCCAAGGAAATAAAATTCTATCGCTTAAACCAAGATCCTCGTAAAAAAAAATTTACTGAAAAATAAACACCCATACATCTGTAGTGCAAGCATCTTCCTCCCCATTCCTAGCTTGCCTTTCAAAGGGGACTTCCCAGTGAGTATTGGGAAAGAAGAATTTTACATCTATCCTATGTTATCCATTTGGAATCTTTCTGTCACTGGTCCCACCCTGGGACTCCTGAACACAATCCCTCACAGGCGTCAGAGGAGGGCAAATGCCACCCTTGTTAGTTTATTCTCACACTGCTCACACCACACAGTGCATCTGATTTTCTTAAGATTTTAGAGGCCATTTAAGGGAGTACAGATCCCAGGGGACAAGATTCCAAGGCAAATGCCCTTACACGAGTACGTCATGGGGTGCACCTGGCCCCTCTGCTCAGTCCCCTGTCCCTGCAAGCTCATCTTCTCTCACAAGCTCTCACCCAAGGCTCCATCCCTCTGTGCCAAACCCAAGTCGCTCAGTCCAGCATACAGACCCACAGATCTGCTTTGTGGAAACTGCTCCTCCCCAACTCCAGCCCTGTATTTCACTCTGGGGTCTACACATTCTCACACGTGGCCCAATCCCTAGGTTCTGGCGGTTGATCAAGGAGTGGAAACCTCACTCACGCTGGGCCAAGCCCAGGAAGACATTGCCACCTCTCAACTTCAAATCAGAGAGTGTAAGTTTAGCCCCTCTCTAGAAATAGAAGCCTCTGAGTGGCCATTTCCCACCGGGGGTAGTAGGTCTAGTTTTCAGTGAGGAAATATGATGATGCCAACATGCACAGAAAAGCAGGGATAAAACTGGCATGTGGGTCCAGGTCTTTCTGGAGGCCAGCCTCAAGACGTCCTGCTGGGCGTGGCCTCCGTGGACCCCCTCCTCTGACTCACTGCAGGCCTGGGCTCCTCACAGCTCCCACTGTGCAGCAAGGGAAAGAAAAGAAGAGAGAGGGAGCAACCGTCCCATTCACCCCCCTCACTACTTGGGGGTCTCTGTGTCCTCACCCTTGGATGGGGCTGCCATTGTGGAGGTTGCTTTGAGGCTCCGCTTCCGCTTCTGCACATTCTGCTCCGGGTGGAACAAGATGATGTAGGTTTTGGGTACATAAAGCATGCCGAGGGACACCGACGCACTCAGGCTCAAGGACACAGTCAGTGTGGTGGTCTGAATGTAGATCTGAGCCATGGAAAAAGGGACCAGGTGGGACTCAGCCCTGTTCTCTCCCACCCCTACCTCCACATAGCCTGGGCATGAGCACTTAGAAAAGAACAGCTGCATAAGCAAAGGCCCTGTGGCATGAAGAAGTGATAGTCATGGTGCGGCTCCAGTGTAGGCAGGATGGAGGGTGAGTGACATGGCACTGAGTGGACCAGTGACTGAGGGAAGACAGTTTCATTCACAGAGAGTGACACTTGGGGAAATGGCCCATATGCCTAAAAAGGACTAGAAGATATTAATAAGTAAATGGATATGTTTTCAAACGTATAAATGAATGAACAAACTGAGGTTGAATAAAGGAGCAAGTGAGCAACCATGTGGATGAATGAACACATGTTGCACTATGCACATGAACAGCTGAGTAAATAATGATCGAGCAAATGGATCAATAGGTTAATGGATCAGCAGGTAGAGAGTATATGATGAAATAATTGAATGAAAAGTTAATCGATGGTTAGAAGTGTGGATGAATGAATGGCTGAATGAACAGGAGAGGGCGATCAGAAAGACAAGCAAGTGAACAAGTACTTACGTACATGGCTACATCAACCAACCCAGCAACCAGTCATATGTGTGACCCAGCTCTTGGGACAATCAAGCCCTTCCTTCTGTGGACAGGTAGGAAACCAATGGGGGACCCCAAATTACCTTTTCAGCTGACTGGGCCGTGCCAAAGAAGATAGGCACAAAAGCCAGCCAGATGATGCAGGTGGTATACATGGTGAAGCCAATGGGCTTGGCCTCGTTGAAGGTCTCGGGCACACCACGGGCCTTGATGGCATACACCGTGCATGTGACCATGAGCAGGAGGCTGTAGCCCAGGCAGCCGATGAGAGACAGATCTGACATGTCGCACTTGAGCACCCCTCTGGCTTGCTCTGGATCCACTGTCCGCTGCTCCTCATAGTCGATCACGCTGTGTGGGGGCTGGGCCCCCAGCCATGCCATCACTCCCACCACCTACAGGAGCCAACATCATATCAGGGACACATTCAGACTGGCCACCAACTGAGGTCTCTGGAGGGTCCCTGGAGGCTCCAGACCTACTGGAGGGGATGCTTAGGCCATGGAGAGGAGAGGGCCTTCCAGGAAGAGAACACTCAAGCCCAGGGGAGAGAAGGGGCTACAGTGGAGGTGTGTGCTAGCAATGTCAGGGCTGGCTGGGTAAGGGGCCCGTGGACATCCCCTTCCTGTATTCCAACCATTACCAATGACATTTACTGAGCCCTCCAAGGTGCAGTGACTGCAGGCAGAATCTGTGGAATTGGGATCCTAAACACATCTTCTCTGTCTATCAAATGGGAATCATCATAATCATAATCATTGCAAGAACACGATGCCAGCTTGGAGGGGGAATGGTGCACGTACCACTGATTAAGGGCCAGGCCCAGTAGAGTGTTCTCTCCTCACAACCATCCATCCAGGCAGTATCACCTTCCCTGTGTAAACGTGAACCACTAGCTTGTTGCCATCTAGCAGCATGGCAAACCTAGTTCCTGAGGACCCCCTTCCTTTTCCAGATCCAGAGAACTGTTGAACAGGATGTAATGAAATCACTTGTGAATGCACAGTGCAGCCCAAAATGCAGAGGCCCTTAGTGGAGAATTGTAAGAATGTCAGGAGTTGATGCTGGGCAGCTGGGAGGTTATCAGAGTAAGATACAGGTCCTAACAGTAAGGAGATAGAGCTTCAATTTCCTCAGTGACAGGAGACATGACTTTGAGCCAAGGGCAGCTGGGGAGCAGGAAATAGAACACCTGCATAACGTCAGGACCCTGAAAGGGCTGTCCATACAGGTCATTCCCTATACCAGTGCAGCAGATTTAGGGGGAGGGTGTGGGGAGGTCAGGTAGGTCTGTGCACCTGGAGAGTGCTAAGTGATCCTGGAGGAAGGGATGTTTTATAATAAATTGTACAACCAGAAGGAACATCTTTTGATGATTTCCCCAAAGGCAGCATCATCATGAACAAGGGACTAATAAAATGTCACGGCACCCACTGTTCAGGAAGGCAGCATGGAGGCTTTTCTTAAGAGCAAGTCTCCAGGTGGGGGAGAAATGTTTCCCATGAGAAACTAAAACTCAAGGCCTGTGATACACAAGAGTAGCAAACAAAATGTAGGTCACCGATTTTGCATCCCCTGTAATTGATAAAGACTTAAGATCCAACACATGTAACTAACTCCTACAAAATAACAGAAAATTATCAAAGCATGGAATCAGGCATGCCCCAGAAGAGGACACTGCACTAGCAATGAAGTCGAGGCAAATTGAAACAACAGTGATACACCATTGTACACCCATCATTTTGGTAAATAACTTAGTGAAGTTGAAAGTGTGCCTCTTTGAAAGGGTCCAGGGTTTCTGGAAATGAGGGAATAATGTGGGGACCCCCTGGTGAGCTGGAGGGCACGGAATGTAGTCTAAGCATCTCTGTCCTGGGGTGAGGTGCGCCATGGGGTTTTCAGGCAGAGAGGCAGTGAGATGCCTTTTCAGGATGAGCTGGGCACCGAGATTTTGGCCCTGATAGGGGAAGCTCACGCCTTGCATGTGCACGAAACATCTTCCAGCTGTGAACCGCATGGACCAAGGCCTGTGGGTGGGAATGAACGTGGTACATGCATGACTGGGTAGGGAGAAGCGCTCACTTGGAATGGAGAGCACGCTGTTCCCCTGGCCCTGAGAACTGGGCTGGCTCTACAGTGTCACACCATGTCATACACACCTTTCTCTCAGCACCCTTTGTACAGAAAACATCCAGGGCTTTCCAAACCATGGAGTCATTCCCAAAGCCGTGGTATTGCTGTCTTAGAGAAAGACCCAAAGGAACTCTGCTTTTGCCGCCCATACATCATAAAACCTGGTCATTTATGGGACAGGATGCTCCACGCCATGGTTAGTCACATCTGGGGCCTGAGTCTCTCAGCAGGCGCTGGGCAGCAGTGACCCCCTTTATGGAAACAGATTCCGTACAGGAAAATTAATCAGACATTTCTTTGCTTTATTTTTATACGGGAGCCAATTGTGGAAGAGTATGTTCAATTTATGAAACTAATTTCAACGCTGGCGCTCCCTCCTGACTGGCCCGTTTTCCTTCCAGGCCAAGGTGGAGGAGTGGCTGCTCTTAGCCGAGTTCTCCTTACAGAAGAACGGTAGGGCTCTATCTCCTGAGGCTAGATGTTTTTCCAAAATAGAAAACCGTGGCGTGGAGCATCCTGTCCCATACCTGGCCGGATTTTATGATGTATGGGCGGCAAAAGCAGGGCTCCTTTGGGTCTTTCTCTAAGACAGCAATACCACGGCTTTGGGAATGACTCCATGGTTTGGAAAGCCCTGGATGTTTTCTGT